CCTTGGGGCCCATTTATAGCCCTGAGCCATTCTGCTTCCTACTAAGGGAACTCCCAGGATGGGGCCACCCTACCCAGCCAAATGCCCATGGTCAAACACAGTCATTGGCCCCTGAAGAATGTTTTCTCTCCTCTCTTTTGGCTGTCCTTCAGCATACAGGGACTGTTTGGCATCCCCCTTCTCTGCGGCACCAAGAAGGCTAAGAGTCCCTTGACAGCAGGGCCTGGTAGGGTGAGCACTGGAGGCAGCGTGACAGCCAGGGCCCATTAACCTCCTCTTCCAGCTCCTTGTTTTACAAGCGGTCATCGCCACCTTGCCGCCCAGTCAGAAGCCAGTAGCAGCTTTATAGTCTACTTACAGAAAATGGCTCAGCACTTAGGCATTTTCTGGTGTCCCAGGGTTCAAAGTGAAATTAATTTCCATTACCTCCCATAATAAATCACCTCACCCAGCACGTGTATGAAATTCCATTCGGGAGACTCAAAAGCCATTCTGGGGCTCCACAGAAAAGCCTACATACTTCAGCGTGCACTTAGTTAATTTCTCTGTTTGGGACAGAGTTGATGGGGCCCTGCAAACAATTAGGTCCCATGAGAGCCCATGGGACGGAAAACAGCCCTAAAAAGACACAGGCAGGAAGCCAGCCTGAGGATGCTGGGTTTATGTAGAGAAGGGGGACTTCCTTCTCTCTTGGAGCACTTTTTGGTGGCCCCTTCCTCTCCCTTCATGGCCGTTCTTAAAACAGGCACAGAAGCATGGGATCCGATAGTGTGGTAGGGACAGCAGTGGACCCCTGCTTGACATCATCATCTGGATCTTGTGGGATACATTCGGAAGCCTTTGTGGGGATGTGTGTGGCCAGTCATCCTGCTTCTCAATCGTTTTATAAAAGAAACTGCTGAACGATCCTAAGTGTGGCATATAGCTGGATAGTGAAGAAAGAAAATAGCAAGGTACGGCGTCACTGAGACAAACCCACGGAAGCTGAAAGGATGGTGAGCGTGACTCACACTTAGCAAATCATGCCTGAGGAATTTAAGCCAGAGAAGCCAAGGGAGAGGGGGGCAGTCAGGCCCAGAATCTTCCAGCTGGAAGGAATCTTACAGAGCCCTGACTCCAATCCCCAAAGTTAGAGACAGGGACAAAGAAAAACAGACAGGAAGTTATAATAGTAACCAGTACTGTTTATTGGGTCCCCAGGGTTCTTACAAGGTACTAACACATAACATTTGCATCAGACAAACTCCCTGGAAACACTTTTATTTTCATTTTTAGTTTTTAAAAAGAGGTTTACATTTCCAGGAAAATTAATACGATATTACGGGGAGTTCCCATATACCCCACAGGCAGTTTCCCTTCTTTTCAACACTTGATATTAGTAGGGTGCCTTTGTTATAATACATGAACCAACGATGATATATTGTTATTAACTAAAGTCCATATTTTATTCAGATTTTAGTTTTGAAGAACTGTGATCAGGTATCTTTTTTGGATGCCCACTTATTGAAATTTATCTGATCTTTTTTTTCCTCATGATTGAATAGGGGTTATAGTTTTTTTCTAAGGATTGAGATAGGCATTTTTATCCTCAATTACACATGACAAAACAAAGCCTCAGTGGAATGAGGGGAATTACCTGACTAAGGCACCAAAGAGTGATGGAGTCAGGTTTGGAATCCAGGTCTTTCGAAGGCAGAGATCAGAGTTTTTGACCACCACACTGCTTTCCCATGACCCAGGGCGTTGGAAGGCCAACTGGGAGTTAAAATCTGAGACGCAACTGATGTTCTTTCACAGAGATGGAGGATGGATGGGTGATAGATGAAGTGATAGGGAAATAGATAGATGGGCGATAGACATTTTATAGTTGCTTTCTTGATGACATAAGTAACATGGTCTCCATATAAATACTCAAGCATATAAACATGTAGGAAGTGCTTTGTAAGCCTTCTAAAATAATTGCTACTATTAGGTATAGAGCCCCCCCTTTTTCTATGCTTATACCAGAAATTAATTGTTTTTTTGAAAATGCAAGCACTTTTCGCTCAATTTTTCTGTGAACCTAAAACTGCTCCAAAAATAAAGTCTATTAGAAACGGAAGCATCTTACACATATTTTTCTGTAATATTTAAGAAATAATATACCATACAACTTTATGAATTAGTACATTTTTAGCCTGATATCAAACTTTCTATGCACTCTTAAGCAATTGGTGGCTTTTAATTAACACTGAGTTTCTCAATTTATTGCTGGGGCTCTTTCCATTAACATGGTAGGTATAAAACTTCAGTAGGCATGAGTGTCATTCAGGCAGCTTCTTACAATGCATATTTTTAGGCACCAAGGCCTTATTCTTATTCAAAAAAGATCTGGAGTAGGACCCAGAAATTTAGATTTTTGAAATAAGCACAACTTTATCCTCCATGGGATTATAGATGGGTGCAAGTGATTTTGAGACCAACTTTGTAAAAAAATTTTAATCTATCTTCCTTTTTGTATCTTGGCAACATAGTTTTCCTCGGTTTGGAAAAAAAGAGATTCATTCTGATGTCCAAACTTCGAAAACGCCAGTTGACTGGCTAGACTGAGATAAGTCCAACTTTGAAAAATAAATGGACTTGATTTAATGACTAAATAGATTTATGGCATGTGTTGGGGGCAGGTGTGCCTGGGCACATCACATGTATTATCTCAGCATGCTCATATGTCTTCATATGTACTACTGCATGTTCTCTCTTCAGCAAGCTCAGGGGTAAGCCAACCAGCTATCTTGTGGCATTCTATGGGTGAATCTCTCGAGTCTCAGAGGGACTTGTGAAGGTCACATGGGTGGTTGTCCAGGAGCAAGGACTTCATCCCAGGCTGACTTTGAGTTGTATATCAGCATCCATTTACTGAAATGACTTGACAGGCTCAAGTAACAAGTTTATAAGCAGAAAAATGGCCCTGTTCAGTACTACCAAGACTTTCATTTTCTTCAGAAGGCATTTTCCACATGGTGGGAAATCTATCCATTAGTAGCTCCAACCTTGCTTTCAGTAGTGCTGTGGCCTGGGTGGAGGGATGCTCTTCTATCTAATTGGAGTGTGAAAACAATCCCAAGGGATTCCCTGGATTCTGATTGGTCCACTTTGGATACATACTAATATGTAGATATACCTCTTTGCCAAGGGGATGGGGACTACAACTAGCCAGAACTGGGCCATATGCCTAACAATGAAGCCCCATTAGAATCCCAAGTAGAAAAACAGATGCAGATCCTTAAAGTACTGGGTGGGGGCTGGACACAGTTAGTAGAATAAAGGAAAAGGGTTCTCCTGCAATAAAAAAAGTCAGGTTATTCTCCCAGACATTTTCCAAAGTAATTTACTATAGATACTTCTTTTTTTCCTGTATATAAATATCAATTCATTTAGAACTAGAGTTTCACAGAACTCACTGGAGGAAATGCTGTACTAGTCAAATCATCAGCAAATTCTCCTTTATCAGCAATTACTGATAAACTTCAGCCAAGTCAAATGATTATAATTTTTAATAGACACAGGCCCAAATAGCAGTGTTTTTTATTGCAGGAAATAAGATTCCACAACTAACTTCACCACATCAGAACACTTCAACTCTGTCAAACAGAATGACTCCTTTCTATAAGCACTAGTTTGTAATGTTCCCTTTTCCATCCTATATCTAAAATTTCAAAAAAAAGATTAATAGTATGCTTTAAGTACAGCATGATGGAAATAAAAACATTTTAATATAAATTAACATCTAAGACGATATGTAAATGTTTAACTACAACTATACTAGAACATTTACTAAAGGCTCACATGTACTAAAGAAATCGGACGTGTGCATTTATACATGGAATGTCTAGGAATGTGACAGGCACAGATGCAGAATGATAAGGAGGTGGAATATTGTTAATGCAAGTACCCTGAGTGGTGTTGCCATCAATGATGCGATATTTTCAAAGGGTGAATTACACAGAATGAAGTTTTCTTTATTTACATGATAGATGCTTTGTTGGAAAATTCAGTGCATACTTTGTTAATATGTAAATTTCAGTCCAATGTTTAAACTCTAATAATAATTATAAATAGGTCATTTGTTTGATGTGCCTATATTTCACCCTAGTGGGATCATCCACTGTCATGCAGGAAAGGGAGCAACTCTTCACACAGGGGACAACCCACATAATACCCATGACTTTTAAGAGTCCCTGGTCCCAGTCCACTAACAGCCAGTAGAGTCCCCTCTACCAGTAATTTCACAAGAAAAACACTTCCATAAATTTCCCAATCCCCACCCCATGGTGCAGAGCTGCCTCCATTGAGAATCACCCAGATACAAGTTATCTTTTGGGTTGTAATCAAAGTTCTCAGGTTTCAAAAAGAAAACTTGAAATAGAAAATTCAGTGTCCCAACAATATGTTTCCCAAATTCTCATGAGGAGAGCAATGGATGGCTCATATGTAGGCCATTTTTTTTCTATTAGGAAAACTAGTTAATGTGTAGTTAAATCTAGTGCCTCACGGGCAACATTGGCACTCCATTTTTCTCTACAAAATCCTCGTTTTCTCAATGAGATATAAACACACAAAGAACAGCTGAAAAATCATTAGGTATCGCTAAATTCCCACCCGTAAGGCCTGGTGCAAAATACATTGCATGTTTTATCTCTTTACATGAAGCTTGTAAGGAAGACGTAATTTGCCCTTCTGTGCTGAGGTTATGGAGGGGAGAAGATCTGATGAGTCAGCCGGATGCCACACCTGGTCCTGTTCTTCTTTGTCTTCAAGCACAGCAGCAGAGCTAGCGCCCTAACACCAAGGATAAGCCCAGGGTTTAAACCTCCCATCACTTATACTGCTGTGTGAAATTGGGCAAGTTATTTCATTTCTGTGTGCCTCATTTTTCAACTGGGAATAATAATAGTATTTGTTTTCAGAGGACCACTATTAATATTAAATGGGTTAAAACACTTAAAAATGTACCTGGTAACCCTCCTCTTCTTGGCAGGGATCGGGCATGCAGTTCTGGTCCCCAGCGTATGGATGCAGAGGGAAAGGGCTCTGGCCCCCTCGGTGTCAGGTCTTCCGTGCGGACAGTTTCCAGTCAGCGGTTCTATTTTCAGGTGCTGGGACACTGGTAAACAAAGAATGTGCCTGGTATATAGTAGTTTCATGATTATTGGTTATAGTAATAGTAATCAATTCTTCTTCGGCTGCCTGAGGCAGTTTTGAAATTTCTTTCCCTGAGCCTAAGTTTATCTACAAAGGCCCATATTTCCTCCTTTGTTTGGGATTACGCCTGTCATTGCACCCATGGCAGAGCATGAGCCGGGCATGTCATAGTTCTGATGTAGCCTCTGTCTTTCCCGTCCCTGGGCCCCACTTCAGTTTTTCATTAAAAAGAAAAAAAATAGGACTTCCACCAAGATGGAGGCGTAGGTGGAAGCACTGCACCTTCTCACACAACTAGGTTTAAAAACAGCAAAGTTTTAGCAAGAAAAACACAGCCAAACCACAGAAAATTGAACTACATGGAAGTCTGACAACAATGAACACTTCAGCCAAAACTGGTAAGAGGGGCAGAGCCAGCAGCAGAGCAGGGTCAGGCAGGAAAGATCCACCGGACCCACCCTGGGCACGTGACCCAGGTGCACCAGCAGCTGTGGGCGGATCCCAGGTGTGGAGAAGTGGGCAGACCCACTGAGGGAGCAAGGTGGTGGACCCACTGAGGACTGATAGCGGTCACACATTCATGCACAGATAAACCGGTGAAGGAGCTAGTGGTGAGATGGACCGCACAGGCCCCAGCAGCAGGAAGCGGCAGGGGGATCCCCCCATTGTCCCTCTCTGACCCCACCCCCACATACAGCGTCACAAATCAGCGACCTGGGTGGCCCTACCCTGGTGAACAACTAAAGCTCCCCTCTTCAGAGCCAATAAATCTAAGTGATGAAGAAATAGCTAAACTTTCAGATGCATAGTTCAAAACACTGGTGATTAGGATGCTCACAGAACTTGTTGATTTTAGTCACAAATTAGAGGAACATATGGAAGCTAACTAATTGAAATGAATGGAAATACACAGGAAACCAATAGTAATGGAAAGGAAACTGGGACTCAAATCAATGGAGTGGACCAGAAAGAGGAAAAAAAGGACTAAACAGAAAAGGATGAAGAAACAAGAATTCAAAAAAAAAATAAGGAGAGGCTTAGGAACCTTCAGGACATCTTTAAATGCTCCAACGTCCAAATTATAGGGGTACCAGAAAGGGAAAAGGAAGAGCAACAAGTGGAAAACTTATTTGAACAAATAATGAAGGAGAACTTCCCCACTCTGGCAAAGGAAATAGAATTCCAGGAAGTCCAGGAAGCTCAGAGGGTGCCAAAGAAGTTGGACCCAAGAAGAAACACACCAAGGCACATCATCATTACATTAGCCAAAATTAAAATGAAGAGAATCCTAGAAGCAGCAAGAGATAAGGGGACAGTCACCTACAAAGGAGTTCCCATCAAACTGTCAGCGGGTTTCTCAAAAGAAACCTTACGGGCAAGAAGGGGCTGGAAAGAAGTATTCCAAGTCATGAAATCCAAAGACCTACAACCAAGATTGATCTATCCAGCAAAGCTTGCATTTAGAATGGAAGGACAGATAAAGTGCTTCTCAGATAAGATCAGATTCAAGAAGTTCATCATCACCAAGCCCTTATTATATGAAATGTTAAAGGGACTTATCTAAGAAAAAGAAGATAAAAAAGATGAACAGTGAAAGGACACCAAACTCACAGTTATTAATAACCACACCTAAAACAGAAGTAAACTAAGAGGACAGCTAGATCAGGAGCAGAACCATAGAAATGGAGATCACATGGAGGGTTAGCAACAGGGGAGTGGGAGAAGGAGAAGGGGGGAGAAGTTACAGAAAATAAGAAGTATAGATGGTAGGTAGAAAATAGATAGGGGGAGGGCAAGAATAGTATAGGAAATATAGAATCTAAAGAACTTGAGACACATGGTCATAAATAGTGAGGGAGGGGATGTGCAGGGTGGAGGGGAATGAAGGGGGGAGTATAACAACTGTAATGGCATAATTAATAAAATATATTTTAAAAAAAAGAAAAATGTATATACATACGTATATGTATGTGTACATCTATATATCTATATACGCTTGTTTTAGGAAGATACATGAGTTCTAAGCACTTCCTCTAAGTTGCTGGGCAAACTTGGGTGAGTTTCCTCAATTCCCCAGGCCTCTACTGGTGCCTTTGTAAGCCAGCAACCTCTAAGATGCCTTCAGGAATCATTCTTTCCTCTATCCCATGCCCACCTGGATGAGGGAGAATTCTGGAACCAGAGAAAAAAGACTTTCCTTGTTGGAAGTTTTGGTGGGTTGTATTTATTCAGCATTGGGTTTTCTAAGTGACCTCAGCTACTCTCATAAGTCAGTGTTTATCAGCCTATTAATTTTGATCCCCCCCAGCCATGAAGATGACAACTACGAATGTGGAGATGCACCTGCTCCATGTGGAAACTGGGCACTCTAGCTGTCTGCCCGACTGACGCGTTCAGTGATTATCTCTGTTATGTGTGCTGCACTCTGCCTTTTACACACACACACACACACACGCACACACACGCACACACACAGAAATTTGTCAATCATTAGAGCCATCATATGAGGAAAAAATTCAGAGATAATCATCCCAATTTTGCAGATGAGAAAACTAAGCCACAGGGAGGTTATGCAAGTTGTCTATGATTCCTGGGTCAGATTCAGGTCTGCTCTCCCCTAGTCCAGCGATTTTCAATTGATGTGCTGCTAGAATTTTTAAAACATGCAATACCTGACTATTTAGTCAGGGGTACTGACCTCTTTTCCCTTAGATTGTCAAATTAAAAAAAGTGGTAATAGCCAACACAACAATAGCTATCCAGGGTGAATGAAAATTATGCCTATTTCTGTCAGATTTGTAAAAAGTAATATTTTTTGGTGTGCTGCAGAATTTTAGTAATTAGTTTGTGTGCCATGAGATGAAAAAGGTTGAAAATCGCTGTCCTAGTCTAACGCTCTTTGCACCAGTGATAACAAGCACACAGAGAGCTCCACAATCAAATATATCTCAGATATATTACATCACTCAATCTTCACAATAGCCTTAGGAAATAGGTATTATTACCCCATCTCATAAACAAACTCAGAGCCTTACTAGACTTAAAATTCCCCTTGGGCAGGGACCGCATCACATTATTCAGTGAACTCACCCAAAGTAACCTAGATTGAAAGGGGCAGAGTAGAGGCCACAGCCAGATTGTTTTTCTGTTCAACACATACTCACAGCATCCCAGTGCTGAGACAGGAAGTCTCTTCCTGTGTGTGCAGTGAGCTCTGGGAAAAAGAGGAGCTGCTCCAGTGAGGAAGAGGAGGGAGAAGACCTGGTTTAATCCATCACTACTTGTATGCATTAACTCCCCCAGAATGATTCTCCTGGAGCTCCTGAAGGAATGGATTCATCTAGTTTTTATATTTTAATTAATGCATTAGTGCTCTTCCCTCTTGTCAAGATTTGGGGCTAGGACAACCTATCAGGGATAGCTTATGGAAATAAAGCTACACTAACAACTCATTTGAACTCCAAGATCCAGGCTGGATTGAAGAAAATTCTTGACACTGGCTGGAGATGGGCTTAATTCAGATTGAATGCCATTATAATGGACTTTGCTTTTTGAACTTCATTCATTCCACAAGACTGTTTGAGAAGTGATTTTTTGAAAACTGAATCATTTTTCCCCATTAGAAATACAAGTATCAGCATGGAAGGGCTGTTGGGTCAAGAACTGAAGTTTTGTTTGACAACTGAGACATATTTTTTTCTGTGAATAACTTGGTCAAGCAATGAGTTGTTTGAGAAGGGAGATATTCAAGGACCAAGGTCTAACTCTGAATTCAACAAATCCCCCTATAGGGGCTGCATTAAGCACTGACAACACAAAAATGAGGAAGACCATTCCTGCCCTCCATGTAACAGGGGAGGTGAATGGGAAAAATGTGAAGAAGTGGAGGGCAAACACCATGCGGCTCTGGAGTCAGAGCCATGGATGGAATCCCTGGTCCAGCCTTCACTGTATGACCTTGGACAAATTTCTGAACACAGGTATCTCACCTGTGAAGGGGGAGGCATACTATTGGTCCTACCTTGTGTATTATTGTTGCAAGGATTAAATGACTTAATACATGTGAAGTGTTTAGAACAGTCCATTATACAAGGTAAGTGCTACCATAAAACCATTATAAGACAAAGTAAGAAGCACAGTAACAGAGATAAATCCAAGGCATTGAAGAGGAAACAGTGAATTCTTCCCAAGGCAGTGGGGATCATGAACAGCTTCTTAGATTTGGGAGGATGACTAGGATTCTTCCCAGGAGATGATAGATGGGGAGCAGATGGAACACTTAGTAAGTACTACTAGGATAAACACCTACCGTCTATTGAGTGCTTACTGTTTGCATGCCCCATGCTAGTGCCTGCCATAGGTTATCTCTTACTAAAAATTTATGAAATTGATACTATTATTTTGACCATTGGACAGATGAGAAAATAGAGATCTAGAGAAGTTAAATAACCCACCCAAGGTCACATGCCCAGCACAGACAGAAGTAGGGCTTAATTAGTGATGGCTGATGTCAGAATAAACTTATGAAACCTTCGAGCTACATTTTAGTGCTTCTCTGTCCCACCAAGTAGTGAAAGCAACTTTCCCCATTTCAGCACTCGACCATTTAGAACCTGAGACCCAGCCATCTGTAGAGCTTGTCCATCAGCCTGTCTCTCCCAGCACAGCTTGTCTCATGGGCTGACAACTACCATGCTGAGTGCCAGGGTGGGAGGGGACAGCTATGAAGCCGGGAGCTTTCAGAGAACGAGATGGGAGCCCCCAGCTTTACTCCCAGCCCCTGCTGCAGGCACCACCAGCCTTCTACCCTTTCTCTGAGCGTCCCTGTGACGCCTGATGAAATTAAACCTGCCCCAATAGGAGCAAACTCTGGGCATCTGGTTCTCTGGCACTTTTAGTCTAATTGCTGCCCAATGAATATAATAGCTCCCTGACTATCTTTTCAGCAACACCAGCTTCTGAAGC